ATGGAAGAATATTTTAACATTGTAATAAAAGATTTAATTAAGCAAAATGGGGCCCTCGTGATGAGTAGAGGAAAATGACTTTACACAATAAATATTTTCACACTCTTCTTTAGAAAATGATTTCCAAGGGAGGCGTGAATCACAATCACAATCACAGTCTGAGTTTTCTTTTCAATTTATTTTTTTAATCATGTTTAAACCGGGTTGATTTATCCATACATGTGAATGATAATGATTACAACTTTAAGTCATATAATCAATTTTAATTTTCATAATTAATAATAAGATCAAATGATTAATTTTTTTTTATTTTTCATAGAAAAATTCTCATTTGATATGTTTACATATATGTGTAATTTTATATAAAAAGAAAAAAATAAATATAAATTTCATAATTATACATAATATATATATACATATACATATATTTGTTATATGTTAAAATTTAACCATTCATAATAAGATTTAATTATGAATTTTTTTAAAGAGAATTAACCATGCATTGATAAGCAGATAAAAATGTCGATCGGAACATCGCTTTGAATAAAAGGTTATAAACCTGAAAAATAGTGTGCAAAGGAAATTTTATTCTTCTTATTGTCGTGTAAAAGAAAGCATTTTTATGTTATAGCTGGAATAGCATTATAGTACTAAACTTTTGGGGTTAAAAAAAAACTCTTATTTTAAGAGATTATATCAGAAGTTAAAAACATTTTTATTTTAAAATTATAATAAATAAAAAATATTTAATAATTTAAAATAATTATTACGATGTTTAATATTTTTTTAACACGTTTCGTTAGACGCACGTTAGAAAGATATAAGAAAAATGATTAATTTTGTTGATTGTAAAATAAATATTTATACATGTATTACTTATTTTTCACTATGAACAATAAGAACTATTAGATTTATTTTTTCTATGTTAACTTAAAGTTCAAGAATCCGTTAATTGACACATGTTACATGTTTCATTAATTTTCAAATTGCACATAAATAATACATTTGTTTATCATCAATTATATAAAAAAATCTCACTAAGTTTGGAACGTTGTTAATTTGATACTTTAGTCAATTAGTAAATTATTGTTTTCTAAGTAATAAATAAACCAATGTGAAACTCATTACCCAATGAAGATGATTGATTCGTGTTTTCTCCCAATGCATGAAGTTGGGTACATTAATAGCCCACGGTAGTTCTAATCCATTAAAAACCATATAAATCATAAATAATTGGGTGATAGACGCTCCTGTAGCTAGAACTTAAACCTGATGAAGTAAGTAAAGATAAATAATATCTGTATATTCAAATTCTATCACGCGCAAAATATTCTTATGTTAGGAAAACTTATAAATCTTATGTTAAGGATATTTCGTGATTTTTTACCATGTTCAGAAATGAAATATGTCGAGACAAGTTATTTTATGAATCATAAAAAATATATTAAAATAACTTTTTACTAAGATTCCTAGTTATCTCTATCCAAATCACAAAGAAAGGAGGGGGTAGTCATATATGGACGAGTTTCTGCACAAACTATAATATAATGCATATTTATATATATGGCGTTTTGTTTTTTATGAATTTTATATTATCCCCAAGCATTAGAAGGTTGAACAGGTACCATGCAATATTGGAACCAATCTCATTCCATTTGTTTTGTTTGAACAGTTTGAACGTTCTTGCATTGGGTACCTACCAATGGCCAATGTGCCTTTCGGGCAAAATTTCAAGCGTTGAATGGATACAACACTGCATTTTTAGTCAGGACTCTGTCAACACTGTGCCTTTGCATGTGCCTGGCTTATGTTGGATTTGAGATTTTTTAACGGATTTACTTTTCACTTGTTATTCATGTAATATTAGAAGGTCAAAATTATTTTCTTGTTTTCTTTATATAACTCGTTAATGCACGCCATTATGGCATATTTGTACATAAACTATTATTCTCTAGTTAAAATATAAAATTTCACACATTTAAGATATTAATCACAATTAACTTTACCATGTTTGAAGTGTTTTTGGCCTTATGTATGTTCATTTTATCGTACCAAAACTTCGCCAAAATGATTTGAGATTTGAAGTATTTTTTCAAGAATTTTCTCTTTGATCAGACTAATAACTAAAGATACTGACAGAAACTGTTTTCACTCCCTCTAGGGCTAAGAAACCGAACAGGCTGTCAAAGAAATTAGATTGATTCCTTTTTAGTTATTCAGTTTAAGAAGATTTTTCATTTCATGTCATTTTTCTTATTTCTGAATATATAATTAATGTGCGTTAGATTGTGCAAATACCGTTGTTGTTATTATTATTATTAAAAATGTTCTACAAAATGGTGAACCATAAGCAAACGACAGCCCGTTAAATATTTAAAGGAAAAGGTGCATACCTTTCAAAGTTTGAGATTTTTCTGAATGTGTAACAACGACTTTTAAAATTAACTAAAATGTACGATCCTTAAATTTTAATTATTTTTTATTTTAGTTTTGTTAAGTTATTAATGGTAACTTCATTAGAAAAAACAAAATCCAACCCTTAAAAATAAACCTTGGAAGTTGATTATTTTGTTATTTAGAATCCTATTTTAAGTTTTGTTTTCTTTCAACAAACTTCCTCCAATCACTCATAATTTCGTAGTCTGAAAAAATGCTTTGCGTATATGGATGGATGATGAAATGGATAGTGACTCTAGAACAGTGATGCTGACTCTATTTTGGCCAAGCCTGCTGGAGGATGGCTTCTCCGCTTTATGATGATACTATACCCAAAAAATAATTAAAATAATTAAAGAAATTCATTTTTATCTACACTTTGAAAACAAATATTCTTAATTAATTATCTGTTTATTTAAAAATTTTAAGTACATTAATCGTTATTTTTTAATTACGTCCTCTTATTTTCATTTAATTCTTGAATGTTTTACTCATTTAGCATAAACAAATAAGAATGGATGTTATTATTAGAAAAATAATTATAATATAAATAAAATATCAATTTGATTTTTAATCTATATATTACCTTCTTTAGTAAAAAAAATAAATGAAGGAGTATTCATTATTAGCCTACTTAATAAATTTAGACCAATAAGATAAGAAGTGCTGACCTAATCTGAATTACGAAGTAAAACATCCTGATATATTAGTTATGTATATTATACAACAAAATTAGGAATATAGGAAACAACATCCCTTTACAAATTATAACTTACATCAAATTTTAATTTCTTAGAAATATATTCCTATACATGTAAACCGTATGCTACTATTAAAATTGAATTACATTGAAGTGTCTGAGCAGTTTGAATAATATGATATATTTAAAACTCAGTGTTATTAATTTTTTTTAAAGTTATATTTTTAATCTGTTTTAATTGAGAATCACGTCATACTTTTAACGAAGGGTTAGCAAAAAATGTTGCATTTTACATTAGTTGATGTTTGACTGAATAGTTTTCTTAGTTTAATTTTGATATGTTTAGGTGTAAAAATATTTATAATTATAAAATTAAATAATTCTCATTTATGTAAAAATTATAATTAATTGTCATTTGACAATATACAAAATATTTATAATATCAGTGTATTTTAATTAAATTATTGTATGCAAAACTTTTACAGTGCTTATTTAATATTATAGAAATTATTTATAATTTCAACATTTATTTAAATGAATTTTATAATCAAACCATAAAAATTTATTATATAAACATTCAATTAATTTATTTATCTAATTTCGAGAACCAGAAAACCAAGCAGTTTTGATTATAAACAAGAACTAAGAAAGAGAGAGTTTTTGTCCATTTGTGGAAAATAAATCTATTCATATTTATACATCAAAGACTAGTCAATTTTGATACTTTTTTCTTGTTAGTTTCCTCCCTCAGAACATATTTTACATTATCTGGTCATACTTTTATTTTATTTTTTCAAAATAAAATAAATTAATCTGATATGCTTCTCTTTTGACATTGTTTTTTATTTTGTCTAACAAAGCAGATAGCATGTCCTATCTTTAAAATAAGGTAATTTATAATTAATATTAGCTTGTCACGGTAAAAATTAATTGTTCATCAACTATAATATCAATGGTTCAAATCCTTATTTTATTACCCACACCACAGCCCCAAAACATTAGGTAATCTCTATTCTTTTAACTTTATTCTAAAAGCAAACCATATCCAATAACAGGATTAAAATTAATGTATTCTTTTTCTGTTTTATTTATTATCTCTCAATTGAAAAAAAAAATTTATGAATTTTTTACAATAACATGTTTTTCATTAATTTATTGACAGAAGTATTATTTTTTAATTAAAGAATCAGAAAAGAAAAAAAATGTTAACTAATGATTTAAATCCCTTATCCATGCTTGAAAAGGACAAAAGTATGGATAATTTCAAATTCTCTTATAATACGTTTTTACATTTTTTCTTATTTACTAAATAAAGGAAACATTAAATATATTTTTTGTTTTTAAAATGATAAAAATATTTATTTCCATTTAATATTTTCTTTATAAATATTAATAAAATTTTGAAAAGATTTAGTATTCTTAAAAAAAGGAAAATACTAATAAATATTTTTTAATATTAATTAAATAATTTTAATTTTTTTATTAAATAATATTTTCAGTATAAATTTAAATTTAATTGAAATATATTGACAGTATAAAACTTTTTTATATCTTCATTTAATGAAATTTTATTATTGTCAATCATCTAAACTTAAACATGAATTCCGAGAGCTCTTAAAATAAAATTTAAACAACTAAACATAATGGTTTTTATTAAAAGATTATTATATAAGATTTAAGTTTTTGCTAATAAGCATTTTTAAAGTATTAATTAAAAAAATTTAAGGGAAAATTATATTAGCAATATTTTTAATAAAATTTTAATTTAATTTCTTAATTAATATTTTTTCAAATACTAATTAACATTTATCATAAAAACTTATTTTTTAAAAATAAGAAGGCTAAAAATATTTCCCCGCAAAGGGAGGGTGATGGACGCAGGAATTATAGAGATGTTAGAGATTTTGGATTGTGTGTGACGCGGTGGTCATGGCTTTGTTGTACCCGCAATCCATCCATCATATATATGTCCCGTGCTTCGCACTTCTTCAGAAATTCGCAGTTTCTAGAAATCACATATAAGTCCCTGTTTGGTTTCATCAGAGTCCGTCCTCAAAGAAACATGGTTTTGTTTGCCTTTTGGCTTTCGTTTCTTTTAATCTTACCGTGATTTTGTTGTTGTTTCTGGGTTTCCTTGTTGGTTTAAGGTTAAAGCGTCAGCGTGTTGTCTTTTCTTAAAGTGGGGTGGTCTTGAGTTTTCTTCAAGACTCGGTTTAATAGGGAAAGATACAGAGTTGCCATTGTTTACGTAACATTTTCTGGGGTTGCAACATTGTCTGTTTTGAATTTACATTGTTGCTTAAGTCACTGTTTGTTGAAACACACAGATTGTTATGGAGCGGGTAAAGAGACAGCTAGATTGAGATTTTTGCGGGGAAAAATATTGGTGTTTTAACGCTAAAATAAAAATGAAGACTTTTGACTCTTCTTTGTTGGGGTAATTTGCGTTTCAATTATCTTTCTTCTCCCTTAAAAGAAAAAGAAAAAAAAAAAAGATTTTTCCCAATAGTTTCTTAACTTCTCTTTTTTCTTCTCTCTCTCTCCCTCTCTCTCTCTCATCTGGGTTCTCATTGTACGGTTTGGCTGGGACTTGGGAGAGAAACTGAAACTCATCCTTAGTTCATTTCCTTCTGTTCTTCTGACTGACACCATGATTTTTGCTAAAGGGTCAATGCAATCTAAGTCTAACCTTGATTGCTTCCTCCGGTTTACCACACCGGTGGTACCATCTCTGTCTCTTCCCAAGGTGTTAATTTTGTCTTTTTATTAATTTATTTTGTGTTTTTGGTTCCTTTATGATCATAGATTGTTTGATCCTAATTTAATTTTTGTGGGCAGCACGAGATTAGAAATTTGAATCGTTTGTGGCACCCGTGGGAGAGAGAAGCAGTTGAATATTTCACTTTGGGTGACCTTTGGAATAGCTTCCACGAATGGAGTGCTTACGGAGCTGGTGTTCCTATCACCTTGGCCAATGGGGAGACCCTTGTGCAGTACTATGTGCCTTACCTTTCTGCAATTCAAATTTTCACCAGCAACACTTTCAGGTAGTTACATATGCATGTGAAGAACATATCGATAAAGGGTTGTTTAAAATTTGTATAGTTTTGAGTTTTTTGATAAAATCGAGGCCTTTTTCTCTGGATGTGTTTGCAATGTGTGTCATAACTACATGGCTTTATTTTCTTTGTTAATGTTTTCTATGACCAAATGTGTCTATTTTGGTTTAATGATGCTTGTGAATTGTTTTGGTGTCATAAACATTGGAGTGATTTTGTAAATTATGTTATGTTGTGCATGGTTCTTGGTAGATTGGCAGTAGAAATATCAACCTTTGAATGAACAGCTCTGGGAAGTGCTGTCACGGGAACATAATGCATAAATTTGACTTGAGTATTTTCAGGGAAGAGACTGAGTCAGGGGAGTGTGAGACAAGGGATTCCTACAGTGATTCTTACAGTGAAGAGAGTGAGTGTGATAAGCAATGGAGATGGGATGGAAGTTCATCAGAAGAGGGAGGATCTGAGCAAGATTGCCTTTGGCATTTGAATGACCGATTGGGTCATCTCTATTTCCAATATTTTGAAAGATCAACTCCATATGGGAGAGTCCCTCTAATGGATAAGGTGCGGCGGTTTGTTCTTTGTTGGCCATTTCTGACTTTTGCATCTTTTTCTGTTATTTATTTACTTATTTGAAGGGTTGAATAGTGTTTCATCTATATGTGTTTTGATTTTCTTGTTCCTAATAAGATGAGAGCCCATAGATTAGGCATAGGAATAGGGAATGTTTCTTTTTAAAGGAGTGTTGTGATCACTCAAAATCTTTTATGATAGGGCATCCATAAAAGGTAATCTGTGACTTTTGACTTTTCTATGTGAATCCAAATAACTCATTTTCCTCTGCCCATTATAACTTGGCACTTCATAACCACCTCTGTTATCTCTTTCTTTAGTGGAAATAGGAACACTACTTATTCCCTTTATTTTTTCATCAATATAATAATTATTATATTTCTTCAGCATATGTTCTCCTTCCAAAACTTTTGCTGTATGTTTTGATCTGATTCCCTTTATGTATGTTGTTTTCACTTTTCAGTGTTTGGATTATAGTGATCGTTATATAAAAAAAACCCTTAATGTAGCTCTTCATTAAATTAGCATATCACCAGTTTCTCTTTCAATTTTTTTTAATTAAATTAGGTCCTTGAAGTTACAAATTAGGCAGAGCTTTATCCCCTTAAATTAGTCATTTGAATTCAATTAGTTGGATCCAATGTAAATATATAGCTTCCAGAAGAAGTGGAGGGTATCATGCAATACAAAACCAGTATCAAATTCACTTTTTGTATTGTCCTTTTAGTCCTTTGAAAAGAGAAATTTAGATATTTGAAAAATTATCCTGATAATGACAAAAGTATTTTTAAAAAATGTTATAACAAGAAGTAATTTAAGAGTTTATTCTAAGCAAAGACTTAAAATATCAGAAGTACCCTGGCATCAGTGGTAATGCAAAAAAGTAAGAAGATTCTACTGCTGACCAAAATGTTTTTGGCTTTCAGATCACTGGGTTAGCAGAAAGATACCCTGGCTTGATGTCACTAAGAAGCGTTGATCTTTCACCGGCAAGTTGGATGGCAGTTGCTTGGTAATTAATTCTCTCTGTCATCCTTTCTATAACTACTTCTTGAACATGTTCTATTTTCTCTTTTCTGCAAAATTTCTATTCCTGATGATTAAGTAAAGATTTTGCTAACCAATCACCCTACAACATTAGTTAAGGAATAAAAAATTAAAAAACAATTATATGCATTAAAAATTATGAAAAAAATGCATTAACAAAATTTATAATAATTAGTAAATTTTCGCCTTTTAATTGCTTTTAATTCCTTAATTAGTGCAGTGAAGGGCTAACATTTGCCTTGGATAAAATAAATTTGGAATTGATTTATCTTTGATGTTTGGCATTCTGGTGTGGTTGAAGGCATTTATTATGATCAATTAGTGAATGGACCTTTCATGGTTACTATTTTCAGGTACCCAATTTATCATATTCCCATGGGAAGAACAATTAAAGATCTTTCAACATGCTTCCTCACATACCACACGCTTTCATCTTCATTCCAAGGTATACATGCTTTTTCACTCCTATAATTATGTGGAGCTACTATAACTTTTTATACAATTGGAGGGGGAAAAGGAAAAGATCTAGAAAATTCAGCTCAGGAAATTAAAACCATAAATTATTAGAAAGGATATGCAATGAATGGAACTTTTGCTATTATGTGTAGATATGGACCTTGACGATGATACTGAGGGAGCCCACGAGAAGAGAAAAGATGGTGAAGGGATATCGCTGGCAGCATTTGGTTTGGCCACGTATAAGATGCAAGGGAATGTGTGGGTCTCTGGCAATTGTGGTAGGGACCAAGAAAGGCTGGTTTCACTATTGAGCGTGGCAGACTCATGGTTGAAGCAACTAAGGGTCCAACATCATGACTTCAATTACTTCATGGGCGTTCGGCATGGCTAAAACAAATTAATGCACTACTTTACAAATTGACCGCTAAAATCCTCTTTTTCCGGCTATATTTGGTTGTTGTGTCCCTGGATGGACCATTAATTGCATCTTTCTCTTTTTCTTCTTGAGAAATGAGGAAATTTTAGTTTTATTTTTAACCCTTTAGGACACACCCTTGTAAGATTCCAGAGAAAGGGTAACTGATAGATGAATTGACTCCTTTGTATCTAGAGAAGTAGGTGAGACTACATAGAACTTTGAACTTGGATTGTGTATCACTTTATTTCTATTGACCATGACCATGACCATGACCATGATAGTTAATGGGATGGATGAGGTGAGAGACGTGGAATGTTTCTGTAAATGCCACCCTGCCACTGGCTATTGTTTGCAAATAGATAAGCATCCCATGATACAACATTTCTTTATCATTGTTGTTTTGGTGGCAAGAAATATTAATTTTTAATTAAAGAATGGTATATCTATTAAAGGGGGATGCAAGAGAAATGAATGAAAATGATAAACTGCTAAACATTTCCGCGTGGACCCACCATACAATAACATAATATAGCAAACGCTTTGGCACATCACATGGATTTGCTTCTACTTTTACGCTAATTTCGTTGTAAAATACGCGTATAGATCCTCACCTAAATTTTGGTTAACAACCGCATAATCCTCTGCCTAGTTTTGCTCTCCACTCTAAATATTTTATGGGTTATTTTTCATTTAATATTTATTAATTATTATTGTGGGATAAATTTATTTTTATATATGATTTTTCAGTGTTAAATTTTGCATGAATCATTTTTAAGAATCATCGTTATATCATAAGATTTTTCATGCATTGATAACTAATTTTTTTTAATTTTTTTCTTTTTTATAATTCAGTCTTGATAGATTATTTATTATTAATAATTTAAATGTATATTTTAAATTATAAAATTTGTTAAATTTAAAAATAATAATTTTTTAATTTCAATTTAATATTATACGTGACATGCATAAAAATCGTACTAGTATCTTATAATTAATATATTATTAATAATTTTCTTATCAAGACTCATCCTTTTTTCTCCAATCTTATGTTATCATTTTTTCCTTTTAAAATAAACAAGAAATAAACGATGTTATCAAATCCCTCCCATTCTCAATAATATCTTATTATAAAATGTGGATATATATCATCCTCGTATTATATATTTTTTTGTTCGATAACTTGATTAATTTTATTTGGTAACATTAATTTTTTTATCATCATTATTTAATTTTGATAATTTTTTATTGTATAATAATTTACTTTGAAGCTATATATTTACTTATTATTATCATTCTGTATTAAATGACCACTTTTATTGTAATATTTCTTATGTTTAGAAGTTAAGTTTTAGAGATGGTAACTATTTTTAAAAAAAAATTAAAGAAGTAAATTTATAAAATTAATTAATTAATTAATATATGATATTTATATTAAAATATTATTTTATAACTATAATTTTAAAAATTATAAAATTAAAGAATATTAAATAGAAACTAAAAAATTGCCACATTCTTTTTTGTTATTCAAAACTTAACTCTCAAATACACACTACGTTATTGAGATACTTGGACCATTGTTTAGAATATGAGGATATTAGTTAACATATATCGTATTTTTCTCTGTTATATACACTATTTTGCACTATTATGAGCTTATTGTTTCTTTGCATCAATAGTAACCATGATCGATACTGTGAAATTGTGATTTTTTTAATAACTAACTGATGTTATCTAAATGATAAAATGTTAATTTTTAATTTATTTTGTAGAGTAAAAATATTTAATTATTAAAATATCATTGAGTTATTCAATAATATTATTTATAAAAATTGATACAATAATAGTTAAAGTATGATAAATATTTATAATTAAATTTTTATGTGAATAGATCGTGGTGGTTCAAACTGCTCGCTTAATGTTTGTTAAAAGGTTACTCATTTTTAACAAACTACTTCTCCATTAGGCGTATGTACTCTTGTCAAGATAAGGCTAGTTTCTCTCGTTTGATCTCTTTCGACACACATTTTAACTAAATTTTCTCTGTTGATTCTTATAGAGCATAGTGTATATAATTTTATATCTATCGTGTGAGGTGTGATTTGATCCAGTTATCTTTAGAAAATTTATCAATTTATTCATATTCTCTTATTTTATGGTGAATGCTAAAAAACGTTTCAAATAAATTAGTACTAAATAACAACTAATATGAAATGAAAGTATAAAAACATAGTTAATTATTTAGTGAAATTAAAGGGATCTCAAGGGTTCCTTTTCAATGCAAACAAGAGGTTTTTGGCCACTTTGATGGTAATGTAAAAAAGTGGGCAACATTTGGAAAGTAAATTCCAAAAATGGAAGATTAAAATGGAGTGATGCCAAATTGTAACGACCAGCACTTTGTTAAGTGAGAAAGGCATGAATTTGAAACAATGCAAAAAGAGATGAGAGTGGTAACCACCAACAAACCCATCACCTTGCAATCACTGACACATGGGTTTTGGTCATCAAAGTCAATGCATCAGTATCACGTAGCTGTTTGCCACTTTGACTTATTGGTAACTCACTTTAGATTTCATAATCCACATGCATGCTGCACAAAATTCTTTGACGCCGGTTTTTTTTTTAATTTATAAAAAAAGTTTTATTTCAACATTTATAAATAAATTTTTTATAAAAAAATATATAATTATTATATTAAAATTATAAAAATATAATAAATACATTTCTTTTTAATAAAATTTTATATTATTCACTGCTTATCCTCAATTGAAGTTAATAAAATTCTATACAAAATATTAATCTCGAAATTTAAAGTTATGTTTCAAAATCTTATAAAAAATAGTAAGATTTTATTTTAAAAAATATTATTATATTTTTATAATTTTATCATTTTTAGATGTTAAACAAAATTGCTTTTAGTTGTGGTCTTGACCGAAAAACCATTCATAATAAGGCAATGTTAATAAGTATTTTGAAAATTTCCAGTTAAACAATTGAAAATTATATTAAAAATATTGTTAATATATTTTTATTACAATTTTAATATGTTTTAATATGATTTTTATTTATTAATTTTTTAAAATAATATTATTAAAATATTAACTAGTGGATGACTTTATTAAACATTCGTTTTACCATTATGAGCCGTATGGTTTATATCACCATGCATTTTGTTAACTTCATTAATTGATAATAGGTTGCTTGACACATTGTTTCTCTTGGCTAGGAAGAGATAATAAGTGTTCTAATCAAGTAATCATTAAATACTTAAACAGGCTTTTAGTATACCTAAGTGGACGATGCACAGCAAATATACCACTATACCATCCATTCAAAAATTGCCACCAAGCTACATGCTAAATATGATAAGTAATAAACAAATGCTATAATAGAATTAAGTATTAAAATTATTTATAATAATAAAGATTAATAAATCTTTAACTGAATGTTTCATTATTCAAAAAATAGAAAATGAAAAAAAAAATCTTATCATTACAAAAAAAAATTATTACTTTTTTAAAAATATTTTATATACACAGCTGAACAACAATTATACTAAATTGATTAAAAGCATAAAACTTCTCTTTAATAATAGAATGAGTCAAACTTAATTCATCCTAATATTAATAACTATAAAATTATACTCATTGATGATAAAATAAAATAATTATAAATAAGTCTACTAATAATAATTAAATAGAATATGAGTTAAATAATATAATTCAATATTTCGACATTCAATTAAATTAAAGTTATAGTGAGAATTGATTTATACCAATCTCATAAAATGTTAAACATTTCTAAAATATTTTTTATGGTTGAGATACTGAAATTAAATAATTTATCTTGTTTTTTTTAAATTGTTATATCTTTTTATTATACCTATTTTAATATATAAAATATATTATTTAAACAAGTGTTACCAATATTTCACCCAACATAAACGTCCAATTGTCATTCCAACGAAAAACATAAAATTAATAGAGAATTGGGGATATTGACATCCCCATGAAGTTGTTGACAGACAATGAAGCTGTTTGTTCCACATATCATATTGAAAAACCTGTTTCTTTTGTTCAATGAACATGCTCATGCTCTTATTAGATGTGTTAATTGCTGAACTCCATTTTGTTTAAATTGCTTTTATTAGATGTGTTTCATAATGCAATCATTAATTGATTGTAGCTGTAAATCTTATATCTTATCTCATGTTGCGTTCATCCAACAAATAATTCAAAGAGACTCACAATCGCACGAAATGGATAGAACTGAGTGGTGGACACGAATATGCGCTTTTAATGCTTATACAGCAAGTAAAGTAGCCTCCCAGTAATTTATTCTTTTCTTTTCTCCCACTTTCTCTTTGTGCCATGCTATATGATGATGCATTTGCTGAGCACTGGATAACAAATTATAAGTCAAATTAACTTATTTTAAATATTATCAACATATTTATTTTTGTAATTTCTAATATAATTTAACGCATATTTCTTAATTTTTCACGCTGATGTCTGAGTGATAGCATTCTCATAGTAGTGAATGTTCTTGGCAAACTAATTAAATCATTATATGTTGAATTTTAATGGACAAGCGTAAGCATGCCAGATAAATATCAAGTGCTTCAAAAAGCGATATAAAACTAAACGAGCCACCAAATGTGATAAAAAAAAAATTGTTAATAACACATTTGTGATTGATTTTTTTTTTTAAAAGTTAAGGCTCTTATTTTGTGAATTTTAAAAAAATAATTTAATTTTCTCTAAAATTTAATAATCACTAGAATTATGCTTAATTAAGAGTGTATTATAAAAAGAATACATATATTATAATCAATAATATAATTAAAAAGTGCATTATTGAAGTTCTTCAACATGATAATTAGAACAATCATGTGCTAAATTGATGCAATGATGCACGGGGACCCTATAGTATTGTTCCACCTCTGAGGAAGTATTTAAGCATCATATAACGGGAAGCTAATGTCACTTGAAAGTGCTAGTTAAAAGAAGTGCTAAGAAGGTCAATGCCTCATTAACAATAATAAATTGAACTTAAATAAATCAATCACCAGGGTCAATGCCCGCATTCAAAGATATGAAAGACCATGCCCATTACACGTTTGAAAGTAATGCAATTGTCATTTCTACTCAATTTAAATAACAATCTTTTTAATACACGTTTGAGAATACACAAATAATTTATGTATGTTAAATTTTTATTAGAAATAGTAATATATTAAAAAAGTCAATACATAAATAACATTATATGTTATATTTTTTAATAAATTTTAATTTTTTTTTCTTATGTGTCCTTAAACACATATTAAAAAAATTGCTTAAATTATTTCAGAAAATATATATAAAATAAATCAGGGTCGAAACAAATTTGAAAAATATTTCCTAAAATTATAATAAAAATTTACTTCATCTAAAACTAATGTTTAAAATTGAATTTTGATGTTAAAACTTGTCAATTTAATCTTTAATTTTAGCAACTATAAATTATTTTGATCTTTGACTTTGATTATTAGCAATTACTTTGATCCATGATTTTCGTGTATATTAATCAATTTAAGTCCCCTTGAAAATAAAATTTAAAAACCAAATAGATGTTAGTTATCAAATTTAGGAATGAAATAAATTGATTGAATAATGGTAATAACTAAATTGACCATTTGATTGATGTGTTGATTTCAGAGTAAATTGACTGATACTTGTCAAAGTTAGAAAACATTTTTGTTTATTTAAATGTCAAGGATTGAGTTGATTGCTTATACCAATTTTATGAATTAAATATTGAATAAAACTTATGTACATTGTTTAAATTATTTTTAATATTGTTCTTTAATTGACATTTTATTCTAATGACTCATGTAATAAGTCAACATTAAAGGTCCATTTTGATTATCAAAGTAAATTTTAGATCATAATTAAATAATAGCATTAAAAACATCTGATATGTTGTACCTAAATTTTATCAATTAACGTTTTACTCGATTTTTTTGTTTAAATTCCAAAAGGGTTTGTCTAGTGTGCTCACAACCAAATGAGGCTGGCAATGGCAAGATATTCATCCCTCTTGTAGGCTGTTCTGGTGGGGAGTATGTCATTCCAAAGTCGCCAAATAAAATTCTTCATAATGTTAGATAATAAAAAATCATACTTTGATGACTTAACAAGTTAAAATGTTATATAAAAGAGTTATGAATATAATTTATCGTTAACCTGTTAAGGTCAAACTTTTTATTATCTAACACATAGGAACTGAAATTTTCCAATTTTTTTTCAGATCACCTAACCCTGATGGCTAGACTTGTGTTACATCAATTCATCCCATGGCAATTGAGTACTGATGCACAATCTTCTTGAATCCAGAAAAAGTTAAATGAATCAATTTTTTTTATAAAATAAAATTAATTATACTCTTAATTTAAAAAAAATTTAAATGAAGGAGCATTTAAAATGTTAAGCTCTATAAGTTAATTTTAAATTATGAAAAAAATCCTAATTCCTTCTGTCTCCTTATTTTTTATTTTTTTGCTTATTCTCTTACAAGTACTCATTGAAATATTTATCTTGACTCGTAATCAGTTTGTTTAGCTAAAATTATGTAACTGCTCCTTTGATTTGGATTGTTTTCATTGCAGGACACTGTCCAATGCATTCAAAAAGAAAAGGAAAAGGAGAAAACAAAGTCCTCCTTCCAATTCTCCGTTTGTTAGCCTTCAAAAGTCTAAACAAGCGAACTATAAATATTTTTTTGAGAGCTTCATTAAAAGAAATTATACTATAAGGATGTAAAGAATATTTAGCCTTAAAATACATATGTTTCTTTAAAAGAATACAATGATAAAGTGAATTAATTAATTCCAATAATTTTTAAACTGGTCATTGTAAAGGTTTTTAACTAGTAGAACAAGGCAACAACAATTTGTTAAATACTTGTTACTGTCAAACCAAATTAACCGATTTCTACCTTAATCATTGACAAAAGATGCAGCTAAGAGTGTGTTAAAAAGTGGTGTGCACAAGTGAATCAACTTTTGTATCGCAAATGCTCCTTCTAACCCACCAATATTTTATCTTCAAGATTTTAATCAAATTGATTTTTTATTTCTAATTTTCTTTTGCACTAATGGGTCCTCACTTCTCATCTCTTTTCTCTCAGGATTAAAGAAATTCCAACTGTAGTTTCAAAATGCATCTCAAAATGAACCTTCAATGTCATTAGCTCATTTTCCAAGTGTCTGCTGTAAAGAACTTCAAAGGGGCATCATACAAATTCATCCTGAAGAGGAGTAAATCCCTGCAATTCATTGAGGAGAGACATTGTAATGGAATTGTCTGCAATACTAAGAAAATTGTGCCACTTGGAATTTGTTGTTTAAGAGTTAAGCTTCTAGTACAACAGATTATAAGCAGGCAGATCTTGTATTTTGTTTATGTCTTCTAAGGATAGCTCTCTCTCCAATTGTATCCGTGTTGCTTGTAGAACCTCCTAGTTGAAGCCATGGAATAATTTCCAGGTCAGTACATTGCAAAAGTTGAAAAGACCAAACAAGATATACTGTGTGTTTCAGATAGTCATTAGTCAAGCAGTTTCTGAAAAAGGAAGAAAAAATTTAGAAAGGATCTTCTGAATGCCAATTTTAAGTGAAAAGTTCTCACACACTCCAGTTATAATTTTGGTTCATTATTATGTTCCAACTTTTTCCAAAGCTTGTTCTCTCTGTTCTAAGAAAATGGGACCATAAATAATGTCCTTGTGCCATATCAGAAAGGCAAAACTTAGGTTCAGTTCCTTAAGTGCTGTTTACCAATCAAAATTAGAGTTTCATCTCAGTTGAAAATTTGCAGTTAATATTGTTCCAGATTACCAAGGTGAAACTTTAATTTTGATTAGTAAATAGCACCTGAGGAACTGTAAAATTTTGTTCTAACAGAAAATAAAGTTATCTTGATGTAAGGAAATATGACCATAAATAAGATATCGAAATTATATTGTAAAAGGTTGCCTTAGTATCAAAGTCCTTGCAATTTCAAAACTCTAATATAACTTTTTTAATTGGTGGCCTATGAAGGAAAGTCATGGAGATGCAGAGAACACAGGGAAGAGGAAGAATACATTAAAATCCATGTAGGAAGCATGCATAGCCAGCCATTGTGCATCCATCATCTCAAAAGCTATACAGTATAAAATATCGAATGCTTCTTCATTTTCTGCAGTAAGATGCCAGGGAATTGTGAGCATTTGCAGGATTGAAACATCAAAAAGCAACTGGGATTGGTCAAATATATGCAGGCATTTGACAGGGAGAGGTTATGATGTACCACACCTCCTAATAACTTGACAAAATTCATGCCTGGAGGACATCGAGGCTTTACTGTACACACACCCACACACCAAAAAAAAAAAAATTCAGGGAAAAAGTTAATGGACTGTACTTTGCATTTCTCACTTGGTGATAGGCAAATATTTACAAGTGCCTAAAGGTCAACCTATCAAGCAGAATCAAAGGAATGATTAATGCAATTTGAAATTGTACACCAACCTGAACATAAATCCAACATCTGTATCAACATATATGATATATTAATGCCAGCAACAGCAAATGGATATTCCCATGTTGCTCTTTCTCCTTCTTTCTTCAGCAAAAGCCTGTGAAAAGATGCCTTCAATTGAATTTCCATAAAATTAGTAAGAACTCGTCTTTTCTGCCAAGTTAAATATCAAACTAAAATGAGAGGACATAAGGCAGATCAAGTTCTTTCAGATGTGCAGAATGGAAGAAACAATTGCATACCGGAAATTTCCTTGCAAAATACAGCAGATTTTCAAGGGAAATGAAGCCACATCCCCTGAGAAAAGCAGGATATATATCATACACAATACCTTTGAATAGAAAATTTTTAGGTAATGAAAAAGTGAAACATTAATGCCACTCTCTTTTAAGTCTGTATGAACAAGTGTTTTCATATATTATGCACTTACTAATATGAAACTATCAAGTCACCATATTAATGAGTTTGAGATCCTCTATAAAGATATTGAAAGAATCTGTATATTTATTCTCTTTCTTATCATGTCCTTGTGAGTTTGTGGCACAAGCAGCACATTGATCTTCACCAAAATATTTCATGGCCAGAGTTTAATCTGTAGTTCTTATCTAATAAAATTGATATATGAAAAGGATCTTCAAATTTCTGTAAAATAAAATTGTTGGGTCTAATTCTCTCCCAAAATTTTTTAAAAAATAAATGTGAGAAAAAAATAATGAAGTTATATGCTACTATAAACCTTAACTGCACCACAAGTCTACAATGACACTATATTCATAACATCTAATCAGAAGATTTTCCGCATAGGAAGAGTGACCAAAATGTCATGTGAGCCTCATTAAAACATATCTGTGTACCTAAAGTCCGTCGATGGATTAGGACCTTGCCATCCCATATCTTTCCATTGGTCCGATATCAAGCCATTTAGAGAAACATTAGGAAAGGAACAATCCCATAAAGCTCTCAGTGATTCCTATAGAAAGTTAATGATATTGTTAGTGGTATGAACATAACAACTCAAAAGTTGAAAGTATTCCTAAACTACAGGATAAAATATATCTGCCTATGAACCAGAAATGAAGCTTGAATTTTCCAAAAACAAGATGAAGTATTGATAAACAAGGAAGAAGCAAAATAGCTCCATGAAAAACAGAAGTACTTGATGATCAGGGCAAGTCTCATCATAAGGCACTTGCAGTCGTTCTTGAAGCCTTTGAAGTCTTTCCTCCTGACATAAACATGAAAACAAAATAAGCTCACTGAGTCCCTAATAACACGAAGAAACTAGTACGCATAATTGCAAATTTTGATTTCCTATCAAGTAATAAAATTAAATTGTTACCCTAAAAGAATTATATGTCTTTCAGCTATTATCTGGTACAATATAAACAATCATATTATGACACCATCACTGTTCTGCACAAGTCCACCAAAAGGTAGGTCCTGGAGAAATCCTTTCCCCTAGAGAAGGAAAGGTGGAGGGGGATGGGCAAAAGGACAAGTGCATTACCAGATTTGAACCTGTGCATTCTTCTTACATGTCCCACAAAGGGTTGTTCATACATTGATGGAACATGGAAGACCATATAAATATAATTATTCAAAAAGTTCAATACGAAGGTAAGTCACAAGTGGCTAAAGAAAGATACACAAAATCAGAAGAATAGTTCAACAAATCACTAACTTCTTTTCTCCTTTACCTCAATTGGACTCAAAGGATAGTCAACAAACTTGTCATTTCTTTTAGTGTTTGTGCGGTGAAAGAGTCCTCCTATCCATGATCGTGATCCAACCATAGCATTAGCTACATGTAACAAAATATGGGTCAACACAGAAGAGATTTTGGATGATAAATACAATACTATAAGACAGAATCATCAATTTGAAGTACTGTTAAGTCATGTTAGAGACTTTTGACATACTAAATTTCAGAACTGAAATATTTTCTTCTAATACATCTGCAAATTGTCTGTGCTTTGCAAGGAAGTTCAAGAGAAATAAGAAGTGAATATTGGATGGGACTAAACAAGCAAAGAAGCTCATTTTCCTCTGCTTGAAAGGAAGAGCTACACAACATGTCGAAATCTCACACGTCTCAATGTTTATAGGCTTACAGAGAAAAAACTTTGAAGTTAAAAGAAGGGATACTTTATTTTTATATATAGCGTTGAATTACGAAGAATGTTCCCGAAAGAAACTGCCAAACTCAACTTAATGCTTACTGATAGGACTAACTAGGCACCTAAATCACCATATTTAGAAGGATAATGACCGTATTAAAGCATGAAAAGCAGATAATTTATGTATTTTATTGGAACTGTTAGAAATTTCTCACAATGTGCAGAAACCATCCAATTTGTCATTGGCTCATAACATCAATCAGTTAACATGTTAAGATATTGATATAGAAAAGAGGTACAAAAGTGTAAAGAAGCAGAATGGCAGAGATCAAGAGAAAAAAATCTACTCACTAAAACATTGAGTCAACTGAGATATTAAGTGAGTGGAATTAGGTGTCCATTCCAACTCTTCATCTTCCTTTCTACGTCTCCAATAAATCTCATCCTCGTCAACCTGCATTTCAATTTTAAATGCATCCTTTTAGCATAAGGAAAATATGAATAACTTCTTGTGAATCTGCTATTGACAAACTTCAATTTCATGCAGTTAGTTGAATGAATCATAGTATGTTATCTTGAAGTGCATAGATCAATGGGTCAGGAAGTAAAGGAAGAAATTTAGTTTTAGTATTTTACTAAGATATAAGAGATCCTTCAAGTTCCAGGAGCTGTACAATGAAAAGGAGAAATAACTAGACAAGAGACTATTGAACTAAATTGCGGACAACATCACTGTCAAGACCAAGAACTTACGGAAAAACAAATTGCATGTTAACACAACCAAGATATGGCAATTTACTTAAATGCATTATAGCGTTATAAAAAGAGACGGTTTCTAAGGATTTGATATTTCATTAGTTCCTTTCTAGATTCCTACATTATCAGCATCTTTCCTAAGGCAAATTTTCAGATATGGAGGTTAGGAGAGAGAGAGAGAGAGAGAGATGAGAAAACAATGTTGAATTTACTCTGTGAAGAGACGAACAAGATGGAAAACAACGTTTACGCTTCCTCAATCTCATGAGGGTGCAATCAGGCACAAGGGTCTTTCAACCTTTTTTCTTTAACCAAAAGCAAAAGGGAAAAAAAATTTCATTTTTGAAAGAAATGGGAGACTTATGATTGCACTCAATTCATGCTCTTCTCCTATAATTAAACCTACCCATCATTCCAATTCTGTTTATCCGCTGATTTCACCTGTAGCAATTACTAGAGAGAGATAAAAAAAAACAAAGTGCCAATATATAATTGAAGGCCAAACCTGAAAAATAAAGACATGATAACACGTTGAAATAGAAGGACAACATTAACAAAGTGATGAAAGGGATCTCTCTTTTTGCTTAACTTTATGCTGTAAAGAAGTTAGTGATGAAAAAGAAGATTTGAAAAGTGGGGGTGGGTGTCTCTGCTCTGCCTAGCATTGATTTTTGCTTTTCTAGCCCACCAACTTTTTAATACAAGACAAACATGATATCCGTTTGTCCTATCAAAGGCTTAGATATATAGAGAACAGGTAAAGCATAGGAACAAAGACATGTAATGTAATATAATGCAATGGAATATATTGATAGATATAATAATAATAAAAAGAGTACCTGCTATGCTATGTTATGGTATGGTATCTGAGAAGAGATGTCAGTGGTGTGTTGTTGTTGGTACTTGGTGGTATTGATGTCTGAAAAGAGCCACTAGGACAGTAGAGGGAAGTGGTAGGGCCAGAAAGAAGATGGAACATGGGAAGCGGAAAAATGGCATTTTGTTTGAGATTGAGTTTTGCATTGAGGAGGGGGTCTTTTGATGGTTTGTTTTTTCTGTCTGTTATGTGGCTTTGGATGCCATACATTTTCCCTATTGCTAGCCTATACCGTAGTTCTCGGTGCTGCCCAAAGTAATTATCTTCTGTGGTTCTTTTTTGTGATGATCGTGTCCAAATATTAGTTTGGTTATTTATGTGTTTTCAGTTTGGGAAAGGATTGAGATCTTAATTACTAGGAAATTCATGCTAATATGACACTTATGAATTATTCTTTCGAGATGGAATAAAGATTGTATTATAATTTGGATAACAAATGCCAAGGGCAATTTCTATTCTGAAGAATTCACCTATATTCACGTGTATGTGCAATTGCTTATACAGTAACATCCTTATTTTAAGGACAGTGCATGTACCTGATCCAACCTACCTTAAGGTTGACTGATGACTACTAATGGGTAGACTTGTGAAACTCTCTATCCAGAAGCCCAGCCCTAATGGCTCAGGGTTAGCATCGGCCAAGTAGACATTCATTGCTGTCCACATACAAAAAAAATAATAACAAAAGTCACGTTCATTAATTACTGATTTTTTGTGACTCGTTTTAAAGATTAAAAAATTTGTGAACCGTTTTGTACTTCTTAATCTAAAGGCTAGATAATAAGACCTGGAAAAGGCTATAATATGATAAATGGGTACTATTTAATATAAAACGTTCAAGTTCTAATTTGGAGTTTAAAAATTGGTTGTATTACTCGATTAATGTTATCTGTAGAACCTAGGGTAGGATTAATAGTATCCAAATTCACATTTTCTTATAAAACACGCAAGGAGAAGTGCTTTAAAACTTTTTAAAATTTGACTCATGCACATACTCATAATTTATCGAAGTAAATAACATTGGACTGAGAAATCTTTCTTGAGTCCAAGCCATTGTTATTAAATTCAATTCATTTGTCAAATCAATTAACAGATAGATAGATATAAATAAAGTGATAACATATATATGAAATTAGAAAAAAAAATATTTTTTTGTTTCGTATTTGATAATCTCTTTATTTGTGTGGGAAAGAGAAGAGTGAGTCTCCATACTTAAACTTCTTGAAAAAAAAAAAAAAACAACATCGAAATTATTGGTTTTCATCATCCTCTATTCATTATTAATATTCCATACAGGTTTTCACCCCTTGGTGCTTTTGGCTACTCTAGACTGAAATCACCTTTCCATCTTTGTTCTGTCTAGAACACTCAAGATTATGCATCTAAATAATACTACCACAAAATCTATGGTTAATAACGGGTGTAAGAGAAACTTCTCGATAAAATTTTCAAGATAAATGAGTAGAGTTATAAACACTGCCTATAGAAAGCACTAGAACATAATAGAGGCAAGCACCACTTATAAATAGGCAACGATATGCTTCACACAAATCACAAGTGAAGCAAGCCTTTCCTCATCAAACAAAACTATATTTCCCTAATCCAATAACCTTTCTTTAATTTTTCTACAAAACCAACAGTTGCTTCAAGAGTTTTCCAGTATTTTGTGGTCTATTATTCATTATCGTCTGTGTCCATCATGTAGTAATCGACATGGAAATAGCCAACAGAGTGAAGAGAAAAGAAAAGGAGAAAGGAAGAAAATGTTAAACACCAAATCTAATTCATTAACAGCAATAGATTCTTCAGTACAATCACACACCACTCATTACTTGATGGAACATGTATAGTCCACAAATCCAAGCATTATTAGGTGGTGGGCGTTTTATTCAAAATATGACACACCTATAGGCTGCATAACGCCTTGGAAAGCAACAGCACAAGAAGAGAATATCGCTGCTGATAATATTACTAATAATAATAACACAAACAACACATCACATGCAGTGAGAGTTCAGACTGGAAAAGCCTCAATGATGGATGGCAAAGCATTAATCTTGATGATGTTGTATCGAGCGAATCCAGTTTCTTTAAATAGCCACTTCCAATTCTCCTCAGTCCTCTCTTTGCCACCAGCATTGTGTGCAAGAAGCATCATGTCAAATGCAATGCCGACGTCAGTAAATAGTTCATTCCCTTCGGGTCGCAGCACATGGTCCACAATTATCACCTTTCCGGTCTTCTCCGGTATTGCCTTCCTGCAGTTCTTTAAAATCTTTATGCAGTGTTCATCGCTCCAGTCATGAAGAATCCACTGCATTCACCCCAAAGAAAATGTTGAATCCTTTAACTTAATATATGAAATTTCACAGTCATTTATACCCACATCGACACGGGGACATGCTAGGAACTTGACATATTTTTAACTGTCTCCTTATTGGTTAAACAAAACATATACGGTCTTAGAAAACTTTAACATGTTAAAAATATTTCATGCTAGCATTTCTCACCGATTTTGAAAAGACATGATACGAGATCGAGTTTGGCATACCTTCATGTAAATAGCATCAGCACTAGGAATGGACTGGAACATGTCGCCTCCTACATGGGTGATTCCATCATAGTTAGGTGCAGTGGCAACAACATGAGGCAAATCAAAGTTAATGCCTTTGATGTGGGGATAGGCTCTGACAATCTCAGAGAGTGACCCTCCAAGACCACCTCCTACATCAACCAAAGACTTAATCTTGTTAAACCCATCTTTGTATCCATTGATAACAGCCTTGGACACAACCCTGGCAGTGCACACCATGCCCTCATTGAACAACCTGTTATATTCAGGATCCAAACCAGTCATATCAAATTGCTCATGTCCATGGCACCTAAAGAAAGCAGTGCCATTTTTCGTTCCTTCTCTAATAATGTCACTAATATAGTGAGCAGGGCTTATGTGAATTGGGTGGTTCTCTAACAGCAACATGGGTGATAAGGTCATTTTTGTGTCCCTTAGGATCCATTTAGAAGCACGTGTCAAGCCATAAAGGGTTTCTCCATTCTCTGACTTCTCTGCACTGAAGATCTTTCTACGCACCATCACTCTCATCACTCTCTCCAGCAGAGAGGTATCTGGGGAGGGTGCATCTTCTATGTTCTCCACAATTTTTGACAAGGATAGTGGTTTACCATAACGGTCTATTATGTCAGCTATACGCAACTCCACAACGCTTTTCAAGGCCACAGAGTCGGTGAAGCTTGTCATGTACTTCCATATTTCAACTTGCCCAAGCAATGAATCTTCCTCTTCCTTGGTTAGGCCCTGATTGGATACACAGACAAATGAGACCACAACAATATAAACATTAATGTTCACAGTAGAAAAGGATTTAATATTGTTATGTGAGCCCAAATGAACAAAATGAACGTGTTGTCTCAAATAATATGCAGCAGCGCGAAAGTTGCATGTATTGAGAACAATTTCATAGTATACCTTTTTTAATATTGAACATGCATGGGTGTTTGATATGTCACATTATTATTATTTTTTATGCCATTGAAATAGAAATGAAGCATTACATATGGAATGGTTATTTTTGTCCATTTCCGGTTGTGTCAATAAAGTAATTAGCAGAAAGATGTATTAAAAAGAAGTAATAATCCTTAACCTCCTTTTTTATTACGTGTCCACTAGAAGAATATATAATCTGCTATGCATGGATTGGCGTATTCTGTGCCACGTACTGCCATGGGGAATATTAGTGTCCCCATTAACATTAATGAATTAAATGCACAACACTTTAAAGTAGAGATCGAGCAGATCAAATGGCATATTTAAGCTGTAAGTGCCTTAAGATGTATTTGATGATACATATTTTCTCAATAATTTAATAACACTATAATTAAATTAAATTAAATTACCAAAAATGATCTATCATTTAATTATTTAATTATATTAAATCATACTATAATTATCTGTTGTAACATTTGATGATGGGTCAAAACTGTGATAAAGAAATTGAATTTCCTCCTTGAATTATCAAAGGGTTGAGTTCTAGTCCATGCGAAGTTCAGAATTTATCATCATACTACATATTTATCAGTTGTAACATTATTTAAAAATTAATTATGAAAATAATTATTCAACAAAAAGTACGGACTATGTAATAGAACAGTTGAAAATTCAACAAGTTTCAAAGATAAAAAAAACAATTATCTTTGGTTCTGAATATTACTAATAGAAAATAGAGGCGGAAAAGGGTTAGCAAATTAAAAATCTTGCATAAATTGGTAGTATGATAATTGCTTAAGAAAAACACATTTACAACAAAATTAATTTAAAACATATTTTAAACAATTATTTTAAAATTGGTTTCATCGAACCTATAAGAGCAAAAAGTGAGAAAATTCTTGAGTAGTTTGATGTACACAAATTCTAAAACTCAATATTGGTTGTATGATGATTGTGTCTAGGATTCATCATTATCATCAAGATGAGTGTGTGTATTCTGACGGGAAAACCGCCAAGAGTCCAAGATTGTGTGAAAGCATAACCAGTTAAAAGCAAAGAACAAAATAAGTAGTCATTCCTAAGTTATTTCATTTTTTGGTCTGATTCCTAAGTTACTATAAGACAAGCTATTGAATCCAATTCTAGTATTACACTCACGAAGTAATATAATATAAAGTTGCATGTGGTTAAATACGAAGGGATGAAGGGTGGAGTTTTTACGATGATATTGCCATATCCAATTGACCTCCAGCTTCGCTTCATTTTGAAAGAAAAGTAAAGCTTTACATTATTTAAGCATTAGCATGATAAAGTGAAAGAAAATTTTAAGGTTTTTTACTCATTTATATGTGAAAAAGGGATCTACATTTTTAAATACGAATAAATTGGAAATGTTAAAAAATATGGTTCAATCAGATAAAAATAATAATATTAAATATTTAAATATAATAGTTTGGCGGCATAAAAATAAAATAAACTAAAATTAATTAGGGGATGTCCCTCTAAATCATGCCTTCAGAAACTTCCAAACCTTTCCGAAAATAGAAGGCCAATAAATATTAATAACTGTATTGTGCATTATTACTAAACTGTGTTGTTTTCAAAGGAGTTTTTATAGTTAATGATCACCAATGTTATTTATTTCTTTGAAGGAATAATATACGAATCACTCATCTATTTTTTTCTTCTTGTGTAAATTATATTTTTATCCTCCACATTAGTCATTTTTGTGAGTTTGCTTTATTTTGGATTAAAATAAACACTATTTTACTAACTTGTATTTGTTCAAAAATGAATTCAATATGCATATATCATAGTTTTTAAAATCGAAGCAAATCAGACTGGTTAAGAATCAGTCAAGTTATCATTCAACACAATCTAAGAAATCAATAAAACAACAAACTCATTCAAAACAATAAAAAAAATTATTAAAACTGATTTGAACAAACTTTAAACATTATTCAAAAATATTTTTTAAATAAATATAAATCATATTAAATTATTATTATTTTTCTTTAGATAGCATATATTTTCTAAAAAAAATTTTAAGTTGAGTAAAACTATTATATTTAATACTGATGCAAATTCAAAATAAATAGTTTCATACTAATTGATTAAATAGTATGTAAATTATTATTATTATTTTTATTTTATAAAATATATAGTATAATTTCCAAGTTAGTTTAATATTTTACTTAACTTAATTTTTTATATATTTATAATCATCAGTTTTAAAAACATCGATGTATATGCTCCATTATTATCCAAGCTTGATTTCGAGCTACAATCCAGCTTAACTCCGGAGAAATAGTAATTTTAAACTATGTAGGGAAACCAATAGACAGTTTTCATCAAAATGTAAAACAAACAGTTTTTCATGTAAAAATATTAACCTTTATCCTATCATTTTTTTTTTCCTTCTCCTCGTTCAAATCCGTATTGATCATTCTATTCCCTATAAATATATAAGCGAGTTGTTATCATTCTTAATTTGATAATTTTTACTTATAACATTTAATAAACTTTAATTAATACTAAAAATGTATTAAAAAGGGTTTCCAACTTTATAGTGGGGAGTTAATTAACCATAAGATAATTCGCCTTCTTTTTTTTTTTGGGATAACCATGAGGTACTTTGGTTGAATATAGGCATGAAAAATCACTGGGAAACGTCTAAACAAGAGAACCCATTGTTCAAGTCATTGCCATAGGTCCACCCAAAAAAAAAAATTCACTATTATGTAGAAACATTGTGCTTGTTTGAGGATCTATTAGTTTAGTTTTTTTAAAAAATGATTTTTTTGTGATAAATTTTTTCAAAATTTGTTTTTTAAAATTACTATTTTAAATTATGAAAAAATAACTGAAACTAATATAAAAAAACATAATTATTATGAATATTTTTAAACGACTTCTTAATAAAAAAATATTTTCTAAGCTTGATAAAAAAAAATCCTCAAAATTACTTCTTTTGAAAAATTGATATTGTGATAATTTTTTTTAAATTGGTTTTGAAAATCACTATTTTTAAATTTTCAGAAAAACTGAAACAGATTTTAGAAGAAAAAAAAAACTATTATCAATATTTTAAGCATGTCTTTCGAGTAAAAATAATTTTCTTGAAGTTTGAAGAGAAGTCACTTTATTATAAAGATTCACTCAAAGTTGCTTCTCTTTTAAAGAAAATCATTCAGCAATTTTTTCACCATAAGTTATTTAAAAATAAAATAAGTTAATTGAGTCACATATTAACTAAGTTATTGGCAGTCGTTATACAGTTGTACTTTACGTGAAAACGTAACAATACTGTTAAAAGTACATGTAAACATCCAAAACCAATACTTGACACACTAAATATTCCCTGCATGAAAGAATTTTTTGCAATCACCAATATCAGCTCAATGGTGCCTCCTACGGATTGCAATCACAGTTCGAAAAAGTTTTCCATTTCCGGAAGAGTTTCTCAAAGTCCTTATTCTCTCTAAGTCATAGCGAGAGAAGTATAGAACCCGAACTGGGGAAGGCAGGGTAGTACCGGTCCAGTGGCCACAAAACCAAACTGGAATGAAGAGTAACAAATCTCATATATTCAAAATTTAGATCACTAATTAATTAACAAAGTTTTCATATCATGCCAAGAAATTAATCAATTTAAAATATAAAGAACCTAAAACGACTTTTAGATATGCATCAATGCATGCTAATTGTCACAAATACAAAGAAAGATGGCAAGCACATTCCATTATGCCTTAGCTTTTACCTATCCTTTTGACATTAACCTTGTCTATCAAATACCCTCCAGTATTTTAATGACCTACTAAACTAGCTCCATTAGAAATCAGGACAGATATATGGTTCCTTCAACAAGAATCATCAAAATGACTCTTAATTTTTAAAATTGATGCATATTATGTATCGATCCATGGATGGTTTTGGGTCAGTATCCAATGAAGACAATGCCTTAAAAAGCCATAGCAAATACCGCTATCTTTTCCTATAAAACGTAAGATGCACATATTGGAACAATAATTAACCTAAAATACTGATAGCAGCTGACATGGTATTTGACTGACTTCATTATACTAAATGCAAATCTTATGGGGCTTTCTAGTGAGCCCACTTTGCAATCTCTTGGTTTGGGGTAATTAATATATTGTTTATGAAATATAAATCAAATAATAAATAAGGTTGACAGATATATAATAAAGAGTGTATACTCTACGAAACTACATAATCAGACAAGCACATATATGTTCAACATGATTATTAAATGTGTGTTTAGTTCAGCTGATTTTGAAGAAACAATCGCTTGCTTCTGTCAATTTTCTAGGACAACTTTTAAAAAATAAGCGACAAATAATCATTTCCAAACATGTATTAAAATTATTTGACTGTTAACCATGCAGTGTGCTGTATTTCTACGCACCTTGAAGTCCAAAGGTGGGGAGTGCTTGGAAAGAACAGTCTCCATGTTCAGTGGAATTTTATACAAAGAATGGGAAGTTTGAACTGCGTGCTCAGTGAAGGAAGCCTCTTTCTTTTACTTACAACTAGCAGTTCATTCAGTGGGTGTTGAACTGAATTGGCTTGGAAATGAATGGTTAATAAAGATGATAAGGCAGCATGACGCGTGTGGTTGATTATAGAAGTTGTATATACGAATTGATAAGGTTTCAGGCAGTGTGTGGTTGAGACTCGCAGCACAGATTTCCGTGATCGTGCAATTGAATTATTGAGCATATGTGATGCAATGTGATGGATGAGTGTGTGGTGCAGATCAGAACCAATAAAGTTTGTGTTCTAATTTAGAACAATATAATTGGTGTTGTAAGGACACCTAAACTATGTTGTTTAGCTTTCATGAATTTGAACCACACTTTATACGATCTCTGCCATGATTATACATATAGAAAGTGACTCAGTCCAATGCCACTCTTCTATTGTAAAGTTTTAAAATAAACATAAATTATTGTTAGATTATGACACCAGTTTATCATACATAGAGTTTAAAAATAACCAGCATTATTGATATAGATTATGCCATACTCTACTATGCAGTTTTGAAATAAACATTATTATTGATAGATTATGCCACTCATCTATCATTCAGTTTTAAAAATAAACATTATTATTGGTAGATTGTGCCACTTGCCTATCATATAGTTTTGAAATAAGTATCGTTATTGCTAGATTATGCCACCCATGTATCATTCAGTTTTAAAATAAACATTATTCTTGATAGATTATAATCCCCCTAATCTTCCTTCATTTGTTCTCTACTAAGCTATGGGAGCATGTCTTAACAAAAGAAGAAATTGATCAGCATCCATAGTTAAAGACAAACCTGGGGGTCACACCTTCAATTCTGAACCACCTGAATTTTGACACGTTAGAACTACAACACATATATACAAACGTAGGCCTCAAATAATTGTAAAAAAAATTGGTCTTTCTGCAATGATGTTAACAGAAATAGATACCCATGGCCAATGCAATCCATACACCGAAGCGCAACGATGAATAAGACTTTTCATGTCATTTAGTGCGTTTTGTTTTTTATGATAAAAGTTGAAGTGTAAGGAATGTATGTAGTCAATACAACACTAATTTCTCAACCTTATGCATTATGGGCCAGTTTGTGTAATTGCGTCTAACATTTTTCTGTGTTTGAAATAAAAAAAAAAAGGTAAACCTTCGAATCAAAGTGAATATGAAATCTAGATTGGGCCAACCAAGGCCCGGTCCACCCCAGCCTAGCCCAGCATATTACTTTCGATGTTCAAAACCCAATCAGATTATATCATCGGAAGGATATGGCCTGTTACTAACAGGGCCTTTGGATTTGGATTGTCACTTTAACATAAGCAAGATCCAACCATGCGGTTTTGAGACCCAAAAAAGAAAATAGGTAAATAACATATGGTTTGAATGCTATGCGTATCAGTATCTGAAAAGGGATTGTTTCGCAGAAAGTCGAATATCCTGAAAAACTTCATAAATCAGAAAACAAATGAAAGAAGAAAGTAGTTCAAATGAAATAAAATTTATAAGAACTACCACCAGCACAAAACAAGAAGATTGATGTAAATGATCTCAATAAAATAAAAATAATTTTAACTTGTAATTCTCCACTCCTGCTATATGTGTGTATAGTTTCATCGCAAATCTCAACCTCGGTGAACTTTTAACTATAATTAGTATTTTACTTTCTCAATTGGGGATAATAATTTATATAGATAAACAAAGGGAATAATAGTTCATATACCCTTCCATATCCACTGTCATGTAAGTATGCAACTACGAGTCAAAAAGAAAAAAGAAAAAAAGAAAAACTGAAAGGTGTTTCATACGTAAGATCCCGGACAACCATGTCATGATAGAATGCACCAACATGTTACATACACACTGCACCTAGGATCACAGAAAACAAACACTATACAAGGGAAGAAAACAGAGAATCAGAAGAGAAAGTAAACAGATCATGAACTATGTATAAGAAGAATCAGTGTTAGATTTATGCACTTCAAGAAAACTGGTAGTTAGCAAAGTACCTTTGGTATTTGACCAACAATAGCATCAGCTAGTGCCACCAAACATGGAGAAATCATATTAAAAAAATTAACAAATAAATAAACACTAATAAGATTCCAAAAAGATAACCACCACCCAGATTCAAGAACACGAAAAAATCTGAACCTCAGAACAGGAAGGGTGATGAGGGTGATATCTTGATCAACAAAGACAAGGGCAGAAGAAAAAGCATTTGAGATAACTTGGCCTGCATTCAATACCTGAAGACCGTGGTGACCATCTAAAAGTAATTTACATGAGCATCAAATATGATGGGTGTGAACTGTGAAGTACAATAAAATAATAATCAAGAAAAAATTAGAAACTAGCACTGGTGTTTTAGGCTTGAAGGACACATACCCATAAAGCTAAAAATAAAAATAAAAGAACGAGAGAACAACACAAGTTGTTAACCATAATTTGAAGAGCAACGAACCAACGAAAAGGAATTGAAACCAAGAGGATAGTTCAATACAGCTGTAACGTAATGTACAATTGAAAACATGCAATAAGATGTTGAAAGGTTTCATTTTAGGATCCACGCCAGCATGCGTTGTCAAGTTGAGTTATAATTGGACGTGTCCAGGTTGTACGAGAAGATAAGATATCTTTGAAGCCAATCTTACCGTCTAAGATGGTCTTTGCGTCATGTCATCAATCATCAGCTTCACATTCACGCGTGAGATCAGAGCCACAAGATCCATGTTGTGCCCATACGGAATTGAACTCTTTTTTTCCTTTCTAATTCTTTCAATTAAAGATACATTATTTTTTTAAAAATATTACATTTATTAATCCTTATTGTTGATGACATTTGCCTAAAATACTATGTTACTTATTGTCTAAAAATGCTTCTTCTTGTGCTATGATTAGATAAATATCACGTTATTTTAAGATCCTTTTTTTTAACAATAAAATTCATCAAAACTAAAATTAATAAAAATATTATAACACTATAGTCAAATTTAATTATATATTTAATTTTTTTTGTTTAAATTATGTGTAATTATGGTCTTTTATTTTTTAGTTAATTATTTTTTATTTTTGAAATTATGTAAAGTTAGTCCCTCTATTGATTTTCCTGTACGTAGGACTCAAATTCTTGGAAGTTGCGATGGAGTTGAAATATAAAATAATTTGCAAATTTAGAAGTAAGAAATTTAATTGAAAGATTTTAGAGTACATGAGGATTTTAAGTTATTTTATTTTATTTTTTGTTAATCTTAAGGAGAACAACTAATTAAAAAATATTTATGATATTTTTATAACTTTGATATAATGAAAATATAATTCTTTTAAGAAATTATTTATAAATGTCCTTAACAAAATCCTAAACTTAAAACCAGGGTGATGGTTGACAAAACGCAGGAAGACAAAGTGGATAGCCCACTTGAGAGGCTTGAAGGATAAATTGGGCAATCCAAATGTGAAGGACAAATCAGGTAGTCCAATTTGGGCATTCGGAAGGCATTGGTCGTTTGAGAAATGGATAGATACAGCTTAAAGTTGGCGAATGCTGACATATGATATATACCAACAAATATATATATACACACTAAGATAACCAATAAGTCATTTTTCAATAAATTCAAAATACCCACTTTACCCTTCTAAGAATCAGCATAACGTTTCTAGAATATAGAACCGATGAAATGAACTCAAATTATCTCCTAGAACAACGCTCCCAGTCCCAAATTCCCAAAACAATATATATAATTTTCAGAAACAAATATTTTACTTTAAAATTCGATAACATAATAAAACAGAAAATGAATTTATACTTTTCAAATTTTATCAATAAAAATAAAATATTTTATCAAAAAGTTAAATAAATAGTGAAATAAGAAGAATAAAATTAGAATAAGAAAGGAACACACAAATATTGAGTAAAAATAAAATCTTCTTCTTAGTCGGTATACTGAATGTTCGATCAGAGGTGTGCGAGGAATCAATGATGGTGCTATGATAAAGAATGAAGAGATTCATTAATGGCAAAGGCCAAGGAAAGAACACACAAAAGTTACGAACCAAACAATGGAATAAAACGGGAAGCAACTCGTTTTGACGTTTTCTAATGGGCAGAAAAAGATTAGCTGAAAAGTGGGTTCTAAACTTTTGATTTTAGTTAATAAAATGTAATACTATTATAGAAATTTTAAATCCCTCAAGAGTCACTTATACATACGTGTGCGAGTGAGGTTCGTTGGATCAAAAAGTCAGTTTAACTAATTAATTAACACTAACTAATTGTATAAATAAGATTTAGAGTTCTAAATGATTTATTAGTAAATTGTTGTATTAAGTGATATTGGTTATGGGAAATTATATTGACTTAAATAAGAAGAGTTGTTATAGATACAATAAAGTTAATTTTTTCTATATCTTTTGATACAAATTTATATTTTAAAATACAAATAATAATAAATATTATTATATTATAAAATGACTATTATTAATTATTACTATTATTGTTATAATTATTATTCATTTCTACTTAGCAGCGAAGTACCTAGTAATTATTGCTATTATTATCATTAATTTTAGTATTATTATTATTATATAGTTAACATGATTTTATGTTACTACCGATGAGTATTATTATTACCATTGTATCTATCATAATAATTATAATTGTTATAGCATCATTGTTAACATTGTCATATTTGTCGTTAACTTTGTTTTTATTACCACAAATTTATTATTGATATTATAATTATTTATTATGTATCGTTTATTCTATTATCCCATCATCAAATAAGTGTAAATTAAGTAAAAAGTAATTTATATTATCCAAGTTTAAAAATTAAAACTAAAAATTATAAAATTAATTTTTTAAATTTTAGAAAAATTCAAAACTTAAAACTAACAACGACTAAATATGGTTAAACATGAAATGTTCAAAATTTAAACAATTTGAAAAAATAAATTTAAAAATGATCAGGGTTAAACATCTATTATGTGCTTTATAAACTCGAATGCCTTCAAATTTTCACTTGAATCGTTAGAAAAAATCTATTGCTGAACACACGTCACATCTTCAAATCGTAAGTTCTTTGAATCATCAGTAAATGTAGTATTTTAAAATTCACTCACAGAGTCTGTTCGTGATTTTGTCGGATAGAAACTAAGGAACTCTTTGAAAAATTAATCTCTCACACTTAAAAGAATATTTGTCACACCATCAATTACACACAATTAATACCTTATATTTAATATCATTAAACTCAATGCATTTGTCTTCTTTTAAACATTTTGAGATATTATTTTTATAACTTAGTATAGAAAAATTCCAAACAAAATAATGATCCAAACAATTATAAAAATAAAATCATTCATAGTTTTTGTTTAAAATTAACATTACTCTTACCATTTATCAGATTATTTGCTATTAGGCTTCGTATGCCCATAGGCTACCCCATTTTGGTGATGGAAGTAGACAAATTGCAGAAAATATTTTTCTTGCTTTTGTCGAAAGTTTAATAGGTAACTTTTTTTGGGGTGAAATTGTTTAATAGTTAAACAGAGATAGTTAATGACAATATTAATATGGATGGAGTAATTAATAATGACTCCTTTCTTCTAGAAATTAAAGAAAAGAAATAAAGCACAAAATCAATTCAAAGCATTCTCTGTACTCTTCGAACAGAAAATTAAACATTGTGAAAACAAATAAAAACGCAAAAATGTCATCTTCAGCCAATATCGATATTAATTATTATGGTCTGGTCAATGGTCAACAATAGTGGCTCGCTCGAATCTTCTTTTACCCTGTTACTATTCTTTATGACGTCGGCTTGCGGTTCAATCTCATAAGCTAAAATAAGATGGTATATTATTATTATTATTAAGGATAAATTTATACATAATTCATGAAAAAAATTTATAACTTGTTAAAATAAGTTCATTTTAAATTTTTAATAAATTTTATTATTAAAATTATAATATAAATTATTATTTTAAAATTTTGTTGGATAAATATTTAAATACACTCTAAATTAAGAAGTGATTTTTTTTATTAAAATTAATATTTACACTTAACTTGTGACTTAGTTTTGTAATTTTTCCAGACTATTTGATATTATTTCGTGAAATTCCGAGAGATGGATATCACGGACGCCTGTGTGCGCGCGTGTGAGAGGGAGGAATACGCGAGTATGATTAATAAAATAATTAATAGTATTAGATCCCATGAACAGTGCACAATTTTGATATCAAATTAACTGATATTTAAATTAAATGTAAAATTTTAAGTTTTAATATTAAAGTAATCTAAAATAAGTATTCTTAGTTAAAAATGTTTTGGAGCATATATAATAAACGAGACTTTAATTGTAAATTGTCTTATTTATCAAAATCATTAGTTTTTATAATTTTAACTTAAAAATTATATTCACAATATAATTTAATTAATTAAAAAATATATTTATTACACTAACAATGCACCAAAATTAAACTTATAAAATAAAGTGATGATAAAAAACCTTCCTAACATTTAAAAAAATGGCATTTACCAACAAATAAATTAGATTATTAATGCCTTAAAAATTTTGAAAGATTATACTAACAAATAATGTATTATATAAACAATTTTGAATGTTTATAGTACTAGTATCTAAAGTCTATATCAAACATGTGACTAATTTAGATTAAATTATTATAAAAATTGTTTTCTCTAAATTTTTGATACAACTGGTATTAAACATACTTTTAAAATATATTTTTTAATTTTTATACATTATTTATATATGTTTAAAATATTACATTATTAATTAATTAAATTATATGATTATGTAGTTTTAAAATTAATTATTGTAAAAAGTTAATAATTTTTATTGATATAACAATTTATGATTAAGTAACAGTATAAGTAAAAAAAATGTTGTGAATGCATTTTAATTAAATTATTTTATTATTATATAAAAGTTTGAGAAAAATTCTTTTAAATAATATGCATTAAATGTTTTATCAATTTTATTAAAATTATTTTTAAATATTGATTTTAAGTATATACAAATAATAATTTTTTAATTCTAAAAAATTGATTTAAGTAGAGTAAGAAAATGTCTCGTGTTTGACATCACATGTTCAAAATTCTACTAAATTCAATGGCTTTCTCTCTTTCTCTCTCTTAAAGTGTGACACTTTCCCTAAAAATTTTATAAAAAGAGTAATAATTTTTATTAAAAATATTTAATAATATTATTGATATAATAAACATTTATGATCTCCTTACTTGATGTTAACATTTTTCATGTTTCATTTGTAACGTAATAAAAAACTAGGTTATTAATTATGTACCACGTGCACAACCACCTACGACGAGCACTAAATCATATAAAAACCATATTCTGTCAAATCTTAATTACATCTCACCTGTTACCATTTACCATGACCATGGAAGTGCGCACGCCAACTACGAAAAACGAACGAAATAACGGTCAACAGTCAACACCCTTTAACACGACTCTACACAAAGTATCAAACAATCGAAACCTGCTTCTGACAGAGAAGGGTTGGCTATAAAGTAAAGAACACTTCGAAATTTCGAGCACAAACCTTAATCAAAAACTGTGTCTGTGTTTGTTTGCACCTTGTGTGCGAGTGTGTGAGTTCTTTGTCGACATGAGCACACTCGTCCGCAACACCACCCTCACTTTCAGCCGCAGATCAAGATATGAGCTTCTGGGTCTTCAAACCAAAGATAAGATGCTCAAATCCATCAGTTATAGACGCAGAAGGGCCAAGCAAAGGCAAATCTTTCTCACAACCTACAAACTTTCTTCCTTGGATAATACTTTTGGAGAGCCCAAAAGGCCCAAACTCAAGAAGGTTGCTGTTAAGGTCAAGAAAATTGTAGCTTCAGTTTTGATGTTTATGCGAACCGGTTCTTTTAGATCGTGCTATTCTAGGTCTGCTATTTCTGCCACCTCTTCACCATCGCCAAATAGGAAGATCTTTTAGGATGATTTTATTTCTCTCTTGCCTGTGTTCTTGAGTATATTTAGGTGGTTGATGATGAGAGCTTGAGAATGATTATCAAATAAAATATTGTGTATATAATGCTTAATCTAATGTCTACTTCGCTACTCCACTACTTTCACCACTTGCTATAACTAGCTATCAGATAAATAACATGCCCTGTTTCAAATTTCATTCCTTTTAGCATTCATGATTATATTAGATGTTATTTCGTTTCAAATAGTAGTTTTTTGCCCTGCAATATTAATTTTTTAGGGTTTATCATCCGGTGGTTGAAAAGGGTTAAATAGAAAAGAAAGAGGTTTGAAGGTAGAGTGAATTCTGATCACCCTTGTGTAAAAATCAAATTACATCAGCTGAATTGTCCAAATTTTATTTGAGGTCCTTCGAGGTCATTTTAATATTTTCATTTTGCTTATTCGAAATCTCTGAATTTTCTTGTTTGTAATTTCTAATTTAGATGATTTTAAATCGTAAGTGTAAATTAATAAAATCTGACTTCATTTCAACACAGTTGCAATAAATACTTTAACATTTGCATTGGGTAAAAAGAAATTAGTTATATAGGAAATGACAGAAGCCAAAGGTGGCTGAGCTGCTTATACATTGTAATTGAGAGATGAAGCGCCAAAATCGGAATGGTTTCGCCTCTCATAAATTGGAAATAGTATTACTAATGATGGGGCGGCCAGTGGTCAAAGTGGTTGACAAGAACTAAATGATGATGATGGTGACTCCTACCACTATGCTTCATTAATGGCCGCCGTGGTAGGAGTTCTGGCCATCGCAATAGTAATAGGTGAGCGTCGTGGAGGCTTTTTTTACTTTATGGTTTTTATTTTAAAATTACAAAAATATGAGTTTGTTTTTAATTACCTAAACATGAAAAGATTTTAAAAATCGCTAATAACATTTTTTTATTAAAAATTATCAATGACGATATTTCAAATATTTTATTATTTTAAAAATTATTATTAGCTAGTTTTAATTTTTTTAAAATTATTAATTATGATTTTTTAATAATTTATAAATTTTTACCAATTTTAAAAACTTTTTCATATTTTAAATTTTTTTTCAAAACGCTATATAAATATATATTATTTCTAAATACTATATATAAAAAATTAATTCCAGTCTTAAAAGATGCAAGAGAAGTTTAATATTTTTTATGATTAAAAATAAAAAAATAATTATATACTTATTAAGAGGTAATTGTCAATATTAAGTTTTAAAATTTTTAACAAGATTAATTTTTAATTTTGTAATAGTTTTAAAATTTGTGTTCTTTTATATAAAACAGCTGTGAGTTAAAATACCTCCTCATATGTACTTGTTGGTTACATATTAAATTCAAATTGTTGTTGTTTCTATTAAAGTTCTTTGTTGACACATTCTTTAAGAAATTTTTTTATTAAAAATTATATTCAAATTATTAAAAATTATAAAAAAAAAAGTGTGATATTACAGTTTTTCTTAAAAAATGTTAGAAACTGGTAAATATTTTTATTTTTCTTATGATTTTATTAAGTAAAGCACTGAGTTTTGATTTTAACAATAATTAATTGTATCAAACTCATGTTATTAATGTATTAGTAAAACAAATTCAAGTGACTTTTGTAACATTATAGAAAAATAACAGTTTTGTTAATTTTAATCATTATATTAAATTTACACATTTATAAATAATAAATTATAAAAAAAATATAATATTTGTTATATTTTTTAAAAGAATTAATAATTTCTACTGTATTAAACATTGAGCAAAAGAGTTTTGTTGCTCGTACTAATTAAAGTTTACCACTTTTAATTACTTATATTAAATTGCCATTATTTCCGTATATTAGATTAATTTGAAACTTCTACGATTTAATTTGTAACATGACCAATGTCCTACAAAAACAGTTAGAGGTGGAGTGGAGCAGTTATTGAAGGACGCCACTACTCACTCTTTTCTCGTAGGTTGTCTGTTTCAACTTTCAACTCAACACTCTCCTCAACCTACGAATAAATATGATATAACCTCCACGAAATTGGACCCAACTGTCATATTCATTCAGTTATATCTTCCTTTAACTTCTTCTCACTCTTCATCTTTCTTCTCCTTATTAATGTAGACATGTTTGGCATCTTCTTTGGGTGGTCAAAAGCTTCAAAATGGTAACTAAGATTTTTATTTTTGAGATTCTTTCGTCTAGCTATAAAAACCACGTTTAACTTCAATCTTTTTATTCTTAATTATGTTGCAGCAAGAGGGTGATCAAAAGAGCACGTTGCAGGCTTGTACTACTGAAGAATAAGAGGCAGGTAATAGCAACGCAACTGCGCAAAGACTTGGCTGAGCTAATGCAGAATGGCCATGATGAAACTGCTATTATGAGGGTATGTAAATATGCTTCACCTGCTTATGAATAACATGCATATCCATTCGTTATGTACACATGCATGTGCTTCTAAATCTTGTAGAGAGGACTTGGTTCTTGGTTCTAGTATATACTGCACTGTAACTAATAATATTGCATATGCCTTTCATCCTGTTCATAAAACCTTGTTTTCATCTACAATATCTACAAATTGCAGAAATTAGTAAACTAAAGGTCACAGTATCCTGAATTATTAGTTATTAAACTTGTTATCTCATCCACTAGGATAAGGCTTTTGTTGTTGTTGTATCCATCAATGTTACTATTGAGCATAAGTAATTTCCAGTTTCAAGCCTTATATTGCAGTTAATTCCCTTAAAATTTCAGGTTAAGCATCTCATTCAAGATGAAAGCCTAGTTGCTGCGTATGATTTGTTAGATCACTTCTTTGAATTTATCCTTAAAAAACTTTCATATATCCGAAGGCACAAGTATGGCTTCGTACATATCTTGATGAATCAAAATAAATGTCATTGTCACACCCCTAATAAATTTTTTTTATGCTTCAACTTGCCAAATCCAGGGACTGTCCACCTGATATTGACGAAGCAGTATCTAGTCTTATATTCGCTTCTGCAAGATGTGGTGATTTTCCTGAGCTCTACATCATTAGGAAGCTCTTTGGACAGCGTTATGGTGAGGACTTTGCAAATGCAGCTGTGGAGCTATTTCCTGGGAATCTTGTTAGCAAAAAGGTTTTTTACTTTATTGTGCAAAACAACTATAAGCAATTCCACTTTTCTTAATGTATGTATACATATTCATGAAGTTTCAAAATCACAGTTAATCGAGAATCTCTCAGTAATGTCTCTCCCGGATGATGAGAAGTATAGAGTGGTCGATAATATAGCTAGGGACAACTGCCTCCAACCAGAGGTATATATAATCAGCTATAAAAATTGTTTTCAGGGTCAATGTGATAATATATTGTGGTCTATCTTATTTACTAATACCAAATATTTATGTTCAATAATGTTGTACAGGAGAAGGAACATGAAGGGAATCAATTATTGGAAAGTGATGCCCAAATAAATTACACAAACGCAGAATCTAAAATACTCCCTTCAGAGGTTGAAGAGATAGAAAGAGGTATCACATGTGTTGGTTCAGCCATCTCAAAGCCAAGTGACTCTTTCTCTCTGCCAGAATCTACCTTAACTGAAACTTCTGCATTAGTGTGTTCTACCCAACAGTATCCCCCTTCCCCATGCCTGGCATATCCCATGCAAAATAAAATTGAAAAAGAAGACTTTCCTGATTTGCAAAACAAAGAGGAAATAATGGCTTTGGTTCCCTCCTCAGAAAGAGTTAGTTTGCTTCCACATTCTGAAGCAATGGTAGATTATGTTGATGACATTGAGGAATCTCAGCTTCTTGTATCAAAAGGTGGTTCCTGCCAAGACCAAAGGCAATTACTCGGTTGTGATAACAGTGATATTGATGAAGATGAATCAAGCAGTGAGAGATCAAGCATAAGGGGCTTAAGAAAGAGCTATCAGACACCTAAGCAAAGATTGAGAAGAAGATCAGTTTTACTTGAAAGCCAAGCCCTAATGGAAAACGGATGCATACTACATTGTCAAAAGCCACGCAAGAATCAAGAGTATGGTACTCAATGCAGCAAAATGGGAAAGAAGCATCTAGTTGAAGGAATACCACGATCAAATTATCCCCAGAAGAGACCAAAGCAACACACCTCCTGTGAAAAGGAAAATTGTATAAGCCAAGGTAGTTCTAAGAGGGCTTTCAACCTTGACTTGAGTGACTGCAGCTTGGACCATCCTTGTTATTGTTGCGTTTACTATGCTCAAGAATGTTGCGATGAGTTATCAATAGGGACAAAGAAAGGGATCAAAGATGCACCAATTCAACAAAGAGTTTTGCTTGGGGAATTTTGTCATTGCCTTCCCCTTTGCCTCGATGAATCAAACAAGGGAATGGAATTAGCAACCATTCCTAAGAAACTAATTAGAGAAAGTTACAGTGGTGCAGCAGGGTATCATTTACTCACCTACCCAGATTACCATCTAAGTAAACCAAACAATGAAATCAAAGGAAACACGTCCAAGTCCCAGGGTAGCTATGCTGCTTCTACCAATGTTTCCAATACAAGTACCTTTGGTTCCTTAGCAAGAACAGAAACTCTAACTCCCAATTCAAGAGCCTTGACTATGCCCCCGGATCGGCCCAAAAACTGCCAAGAAATTTTGTTAAAGACATATTCGTGTACTTCTCAACAGCCCAAGCATGTTCATCCTAAGTTACCAGAGTATGAGGACATAGTTGCTTTGTTTACGGCTCTCAAGAGAAAGAGTATGCGGCTAGAGGGTAAAAACAACAACTAGAGTAGAAAAGGAGGCATGCATGTGTATGTTTTAGTATAACGCTGTAATGTTCAAGTTTTCTAGGATTTAGATATTACTGAAACTATTCTTTGACACTCATAGATATATATGATTGCAAAAAATTAATCACCTTTTCTAGCAGCAATTACGATGTGAATGATATTACCTTTTTAAATGACGATTACCGGTCCTGTACGAAGAATCCAAATATCACTTAATGTTAATGATGTGATATTGGCAATCTCACCTATCACCTATGAAATCGAATATACATATAAATTGCCTCATTTTCTTGGAGACTTGGAAACAAAAACTAATCTGTCTTATCAAGTTTTAAAACACTTTTATTTTTTCGTCATGTAGTTAGTTTAGGCTTGTTGTGATACTGGATAAT